TAGCTGGGATTACAGGCACGTGCCACCATGCCCAGCTAATTTATTGTGTTTTTAGTAGAGACGGGGTTTCACCATGTTGACCAGGATGGTCTCGATCTCTTGACCTCGTGATCCACCCGCCTCGGCCTCCCAAAGTGCTGGGATTACAGGCTTGAGCCACCGTGCCCGGTCGTGTCAGTTCTATTATTATATCTGAACGTATGGTCTAAGATTTTAAAAAAATACAATTATAAATCAAGATGATATTGCCCAGTACATAAATTTACTTAGCACCTATATGTATTTATTTTTTAATTTAACAGCATTCAGGCCAATATTTATATGCTAATGAAATATCAGTATTATTAAGTCTTTTTCATTTACTATTTGATAAAACTCCAATGAACATTCTGTATCTCTGCTTTGCAAAAAAGCCACATCAATAATGCCTACAGTATAGCCCAGAGTCTGAGACCAACTGTGCTGCATTTCTAAGTCTCGTTAACTATTCCACTGTTCCTTTGCCTAAAGCTTCAAAGTGGCCCAGACACAATCACATCCTTAAATTTTACGGGAGCAATGAAGAGGTCACACAGCATTGGCTTTTTTCTTATTTTAAACATTCAATTTTTCTGAAAGTATTAACTCATTACAACTACAAATTACATATTTTTGTTATCAAATGAATATGAACACTAGATCAAAAATTAAGTCCCAATAAAAAATATAGTCTCAATTTGTGTCACTCTTTATAATGATCTAAGCAATAGATTGATTTTACAACCATATGATTATATAATCTTTGCCTTGCTTCCATGGGTTTAAAGGCTGGTTAAGAGTTATCAGCAGTACCACTTTGAAAAATATTAATTAACTGGATAGAGGAATTTTTTTCTTTTTGCATTTTTATATCTGGTATGTTATTTTTCATCATGTATACAAATTAAGCAAGTACAACAAAAAAATTTGTGCTTAAATTTATGATTGCTGAAATCTCAAGAAATTACAAATTATGACAATGTATGTCTTTTTAAAGTAAAAATTTAAAAAACTCTATTTGTAAAATTCTATGTATTGCTGATTTTTAAAATGAAATATTTAATTAGAAACAACCCCAACCTTGAAAGCTGAACATTTCTTATTCAAATTTACAGATGTTAAGTGTCATTTAAAGATTTTGACTATAATTCAGAGGATTATACACTGATATATACTAGTTTTTTAAGACAACAGATGTCATTAACCTTCTAATTATGTTACCTAGAGAGTCAGAGTGTGTGGGGAGAACTACATACTGTTTTTTAAAATAGTTTGTATCAGTCAAGTCTTATTTATTATCATATAACAATTGTCTTTATAAATATTTCCATTAACATTTTCATATTTAATTATTTTATTAGAACAGTGAAGACAGCATTATTGTTCTCCATTATACACATGATATAACTAAGACTCAAAGGATAAAGACTTGAAATTTTTAACTAGTGGATCTTCTGATGTTATTCAGCTAGGTCCAAACAACTTTTTCTTTAAAAATAAAAATTTAATATTTTTCTTTAAGAAAGGTTTGTGTGATTTAACTTGCTGATTTAAATTGGAGCATAGGCATTTAGTGAATTATTATAACATATTTGAAGCTGTGATACACTGAGACGTTTTCCTATGCCTAATGATTTTGGAAATGATTTGCAAATACAGTTCAAAAAGATAGTCATGTATGATGTTAAAATGTTTTTTAAGTTTAAGAATTCCCTATTGAATATCTGCTAAATGACAGGTTCTTTGTTAAGTTCTGAGATTATGGTAATGAATAAGATAAATCTTTCTATTTTATGTAATTTTTGATGTAGAAATGAAACTAATTAGCCCAAGATATAAATTTGTTTCGAACATTTTAGTGGCAATGAGTTAATTTATAAATTCATTAATAGACAAAAAATTCATAAGATATCAGAATTTTTGTGTCTTTATTACAAAAAAATTCTATTCATTCTTAAAAAAAACAGTATAGCTAAAAATCTTGAGATAATCATTTTAGAATAATTCTGAAATTCTTAATGCTTATGTTTTTGAAGACGTTTTATTTTCCAATGTATGTCATTTGTTTTATATATACATATGTATATCTACATATATAAAGAGTAATGTTAAGGTCTTGATTAGATAATGAAGTTTGGAACAGTTAAGCTATTACATCATATGATTGTAGGAGTAAATCAATTTCTCCATTAAAAGTTGTTGTTAACATCTCCCTTTCTAAATGAATATATTAAAATAAAATAATGAAGGCAAAATTAATTGTCATAAGATAGCACATTAGTTAAATGACTTAGAGCATTTATGTGTTCCAGTTATTTTAAGTCTCTTTGCAAGTGCTGTAACACATTGTTTTACTGCAATTTGCTTTATTGTACTTTTCAGATATTGTAGTTTTACAAATTCAACATTTGTGATAATGCTGCATTGAATAAATCTGTCAGTGCCATTTTTCTAATATCAAGTGTTCACTTTGTGTCTCTTTGTCACACTTTGGTCATTCACACAATATCTCAAGTTTCTCCATTATTATTATATCTTTTATCTGTTTTATTATCATTATATCTATGATCATTAATGTTACTCTTGTAATTGTTATGGGCACCACACACCACAATCATATAAGATAGTGAAATGTTGTGTGTTCAGACTGCCCCACTCACCAGCTGTTCTTCTTAGTTTTCCTTCTACTAGATACTCCCTATTCCCTGAGACACAACAATATTGAAATTAGGCCAATTAATAGCCCTACAATGGCCTCTAAGTTTTCAAATGAAAGGAAGAGTCATACATCACTCACTTTAAGTTAAATGGTAGAAATGATTAAATTTAGTGAGGAAGGCATGTCAAAAGCCAAGATAGGCTAAACACTAGGCCTCTTATGCCAAAGAGGCAAGTTGTGAGTGCACAGGAAAAAAGTTCTTAAAAGTGCAAGTCCAATGAAAACATGAATGATAAGAAATCAAAACAACTGTATTACAGGTATGGAGATAGGTTTAGTGGTCTGTACAGAATATCAAACCAGCCACAATATCCACTTAAGACAAAGCCTAATCCAGAGTAAGGCCCTAATTATCTTCAATTCTATGAAAGCTGAGAGAGTTGAGGAAGCTGCAGAAGAAAAATTTGAAGCTAGCAGAAGTTGGTTTATGATATTTAAAGAATAATGCCCTCTGCATAACTTAACAGTGCAAGGCCAAACAGCAAGGGATGATGCAAGAAGCTGAAGCAAGTTATCCAGAAGATCAGGCTAAGACAACTGATGAAGGTGACTACACTAAACAACAAATTTTCAATGTCGATGAAACAGTCTTCTAATAGAAGATGACATTCCAATAAAACAATGAAATAATGAAGAAAACAAAGTAATTAGGTAACAATATGATGACTGGAACAGTATGTGACATCTCAATAGTAACTTTCAATAATATAAATGCTCCACTTAAATGATACACATTGTCAGAATGGATACAATAATCACAAACCAAATACTGCTCTCTTCAAGAAACACACTTAACCATGTAAGAATTCTTATAGTCTCAAGGTAAAGGGACAGAAAAATATATTCCACACAAATAGAAACCAAGAGCAAGCAGGAGTAGCTATTTGCATATCAGATAAAACAGACCTTAAAGTAACAAAAGTTAAAAAAAAAAAAAAAAGACAAAGAAGGTGATTATATAGTGATAAAAGGATAATCCAACAAGATGTTATAATCCTAAATATATATGCACTGGAACTCCCAGATTCACAAAATTATTACCACTAGACCTATGAAAAGAGACAAACATCAATACAATAATAAAAGGGATTTCAACAATCCACTGACAGCATTAGACAGATCGTTGAGGCAGAAAGTCAACAAAGAAATATTGAACTTAAAGTGCACTCTAGATCAAATGAACCTAACAGATATTTACAGAACATTCTACCCAAGAACTGCAAAATATACATTATTCTGATTAATATCACTCTCCAAGATAGAAAATATAATAGATCACAAAACAAGTCTCAATAAATTTTTAAAACTTGAAACAATATCAAATATCATCTCAGATTATAGAAGAATAAAACTAGAAATTAATTCTAAGAGGAATCCTCAAAACTATACAAATATATGGAAATTAAACAATCTACTTCTGAATTATGCTTAGGTTAACAATAAAATCAAGATGAAAATCTAAAAATTATTCAAAATGAATAACAGTAACACAAGTTATCAAAACCTCTGTGACACTGCAAAAACAGCTAAGAGGAAAGTCTATAGCCCTAAATACCTACATCAAAAAGTCCGATAGATCACAAATTTACAACTAACATCACACCTTAAGGAACTAGATAAACAAGAAAAAAATAAACTCAAAGCTAGCAGAAAACAACAACAACAACAACAAAGATCAGAGCAGAACTAAGTTATTTTGAAATAAATAATACATACAAAAGGTCAGTGAAGCAAAAAGTTTATTCTTTGATAAGATGAAAAAAATGATAAACCATTAGCCAGATTAACCGAGAAGAAAGAAGATTCAAATAAACTCAGTTATAAATGAAAATGGAGACATTACAACTAACAGCACATAAATACAAAGAATCTTCAAGACTGTTATAGACACACCTATACATACAAACTAGAAAATTCAGAGGAAGTGGATACATTCCTGAAAACATACAACCCCCTTAGCTTGTTTCTAATGATAAGTGAGCGCTAAGCTAGGGGTATACAAAGATACACAGAAGAGTGTGATGGACATGAGAGAACTTGAGGAGGAGGTTGTCACAGGATTTAGAAAGCTACATTGCACTATTGGGTACAATGAACACT